TTAACGCAGTGTTTTATCGCAATTTTTTGAAGACTTATAAAGTTTTTTTTTACCTCGCTGTTAAAAATAAAGCGGGAAATAATAGAATTTATATACGCGCAATTAATCGTTTGATTTATTCCATTATAATATTTGAATCATAGATGCGATATTGCAATACATTAATAGTTATCAAATGACATTTATTATTATTTTACATAAAGAAATAATAATTACAGAAGACGCGTTGCAGAAAATTATATGTATCGGAATTGATTGGATCGTTTCATTCACATTATCTTATATCGAAGTTTTGCGTACTTTTTTGCACATTTTCTTATTTTGAAAAATGTAGTTTCATATATACAGTTAATAATAATAATTGACATTCTTTTTTATTGAAAGATATATATAATTAATTTATTAATAATCTTTTGATCATGATTGCTCACATAAATTAAAAAAAAGGTAAAACAAATTTTACAGTTGTATGTATTTGATAATTAATAATAAATATTAGTAATAGTCATTTGTCGATTGGACATAGTCCAATATTTCACATCGCGATCGTGAGAATTTTGTGTTATTATACGCATACCGAATGTTTTCTCTGTAATTTCATATTAAAAAGAAATTTTGCGCATACATATTGTATACATACTGTACATTATATTTTCAGTTTTATAATGTAATTTTTTTTATAATATGTTATGTATAATGTAAAGTAAATTGTGTAAAAAGTAATATAAGTAATAAAAATGTAAAGAAATATACTATAAAATGAGGTAACTTTATTTTGTAATTCTCACAATTAACGACTGTAAATATTGTTATATATTGTCGTTGAGGTTTCATACATGAAAAAACTACGCAATGACAATATAGTGACATCAACCAAGAATTACAAAATAAGAGCCTTTGTCCCAGAAACTTTAACACAAATTATAAAAATATGCTATGTTCAAAATCATGACATAAGACTTTCGAAACTTCTTTAAAATAATAGTTGGATTAATTCTTTATAAGATTATATTTTTAAGATTTCATATGTTCAGATTTTGCGTGTTGTATTGTTAAAATTTAGACGAAATTTATTCTGATTGTGGACGACAATTATCTCATTTTATGGTATTGTAAAGAAAAGAAGAGATTATTAATCGGATAGTCGGGAATGTGATGGAGAGGGCCTTCATAAACTAACTTGTTAATTAAATTATCTGGAAAATATATATGCGTAATTTTATTGTAATATATTTTAGGTTTTTTTTGTATAGTATATTGGTTTAAAAGTTAAAGAAAAAAAAAATAAATGGAAGAACTCAAGCAAGTTAACGTTGCCGTCTATTGTTTAACGTCAAAATAATATCTTTAATATTGTTTTAATATCAAAATATGATAAATAAACGTGAACTTGCTAAAGTAAAAAAAAAAGAGGACCGTTGATTATAATCGACGGGGGTGGTGGAGGGCCTTTACAAATTAAGTTGTATTTATCACATTATCTGAAAAATCTATATAATATTTTGATTATAATATACTTTATGTTTTTTTTCTATAGTTGCGTTGTGTATAGTATATTATATTAAAAATAAAAAAAGGAAAAGAAAGAATCGCCAAGTAACAAGCTAATGTTATTTGTTATTTGACATCAAAATAACAATAAATAATATCAGTTTACAAAAAGAGGACCGTCGATTGTTATCGACGGGGGTGGTGGAGGGCCTCTCAAAAATCTGTAGAAAAAGATCGTGAATGTGTTACCCGTCAGAAATATCCACGGTTATATAATTGTATGTGCACATTCTATACATATAGAAGAGTCAGTAAATAGATTTTATTCATTTAATACACGGACATCTATTCTCAATCGTTTCTCCCTGTATTATTATCAGAGAGAAGGGCCATCCCGGCGTTTTTCAGATTAAATGGGCTGAAATTAAATTAGACATTTTTTTAGTGTTGACATATATATATATGTATATATATTCTTAAAGTTATTTAACATCTTACATTATTTAAGACAATCACAAGACTACTTATTAATGGTTATACGTTCAGCAGAGAAAATAGCTTTGCAACTGTTGTAAAATTCTTTAATTTATATATTGAGTCATTTAAAGTATCCGCGGTTTTTTCATTCAAAAATTGAACAAAAAACCGCGGATACTTTTTAAATGACCTAATATTTATAGCCATAAAGAAATCATGAGATGAAAGTAATATTATTTCCATCATGAAAGAAACGAAGGGAAGAACCAATCGTTTTGAAGAATCTTACAATAGTTGCAAAGCTTTTTCTGCTAAACGCAATTAATATCTATATTTAAGATAAATCCACTGCGTACCATATTCGAATGCCAGCTACGTAGTTACCAGTAGTAGTATATTTGTTCAGGAAATCTCTCTATAAAAAAATTGCCGTTTGGAATTGGCGTTTAAATCATCGTAAGTCTCCATTCCCCAATCATATCTTGTGTACGGCGATCAATGTGCGTACACAGGTATATGAGATAGAGGTATGCACTGGTGACAGCGTATGGCATTTGAAGAAGAAAGAGCTTTTTAGTTCTCAAAGTGTTAAGGCAAGATTCTGCAATAATTTGTGTCAAAATGTAAAAAAATAAAAATTCTTGTACAATGGTATATTATCCAATGGGATTATTAAGGGATATTACAGGTTGCCATTTTCTATTTAAAGCAGAAAATTTGCATAAAAATTTAAAAAAGTATTGAAGCAAAGTTTCTGCAATAATATAATATGTGTTAGAAAATATAAGAATATATTTGACTCCCTCACATATTATTGCAGAACCTTGCTTCAATACTTTTTAAAATTTTTATGTAAATTTTCTGCTTTAAATAGAAAATGGCAAATATATTACATAATATATGTGTTTACAGGTTGCCATTTTCTATTTGAAGCAAAAAATTTACATAAAAATTTTTGTACAGTGGTATATACTATCCAACATAACATATTGTTACAAATTGTTGCATACTACATCATATAACAATATTAATCCAAGATCTAATCTAATTTCTAAAAATAAAAATTTTATTATAGATAAAAAAAATAACTTCAATAATAAGTAATTTTCTCTTACTTCCAAGTATCTATTTTTTATATGGATTGATATAAATTATGTTTATTTTTATATTTTTATATTTATTTCTATAATAAACTTAATATAAAACTGCTAGAAAATAGAAACGATAAAATTCTTCATGTTAAAATTACGTCCCTTTGTAAATTGATATTTTGTAAGCATATTAATTTTTTCAAATTATTGTAAGTGAGATTTGATTATGTGCAGAGCTGGATATGTATATTTGAAATACTTTATTTAAAACACAGTGTTTGCAATACAAATGTATTTTATATTTTGTATTTCAACAGAGAATATGAAAGCATTATGTATTTTGTATTTAAAATTGAAAGATTGAAAGTTTTTTGTATTTTATAATTCAAATAGTAATTCAAATAATAATATATTGTAATAAGATTAGTTGTCAATTGGTATATATTTGAAATACAAAATACAACAAGTATTACTTTAATTTATATCCTCTTATAAAAAGATAAAATATTTAATTCATGTGCTCTGCTGAAATACAAAATACAATTGCCTCCAGATGATATGGCCAACTTTGCATATTCGCTAAATATTGACTATATTCAATATAGATAATTATGTACGTCATATGTATATTTAATATTGGCATACGTTGGCCATATCGTCTGGAGGCGCATTTACAAAGAATGGTTTTCAAATAAAAGTATTACAAATACATGTCCAGCTTTGTTTTTCATGTATTTACTTTTAATTTAATTTCATGGAAAAATACTAGTTGCTTTTGTAACAAGCATATCTGCGTTTATATAAGTTTGTATTGATGTATCCTTATGACCGAAAAATTTTAAATGGAAAATATAAAGTAGGAAAATAGCATAAAATTGAAATGAAGATAAACTTAATTTTAGAAGATAATAGTCGATTAATGAAAAAAGAATTAAATGAGATATATATATATATATATATATATTAGGTGTTGGAATTAATTCGTAGCGTTTTACAAGTGATGGGAAGTACTTTCATTAATGTATTTTTTAATGCTCATGTGAAATAA